CCTGTTCTGCTATGGCATGACGGCATGCCACACAAGATTCAACCATGTTGTTATGTACATAGGTAATTTGTTCTAGAAGGATTTCTGAGTCATATATCATTGTACGGATGAGCCATAATTTGTATATCTATTTAACTGCAGGGTTTGTTCCTAGTTTGGTGAAGCTTTGAATATTTGCATGCAAAGCTTTTTGCAGACTTATGTTTCAATTTCTCCTAGGTAAAAATGAAATTGATAAGTTAGTTGCTAACAGCCCAACAGGTTTCCCAAGTAGTTATACCATTTAACATTAACATTCTATGAAATATATGGACAGCCTCACTTGTTATTGATAGTTTTCTTTAATTTTAGCCATTCTTATGTGTGTGGTGTCTCACTATGGTTTTAATTTGCATTTTCCTGATGACTAATGATGTATGGTGTTGACTAGAAGTTGGTAAACAATGACCTACATGCCAAGTCCAACCACTGCCTATTTTTATAAATGTTGTTTTGTTGGAACACAGCCATTTATTTGCATAATGTCTATAGCTACTTTTGTGCTACAATGGCAGAGTTGAATAGTTGCAGTAGAGAACATCTATCTTGTCAAGCTTAAGCTATTTACAATCTGACCCTTTACAGAAAACATCTGACAATGTCCCCACTCCCATCCTCAACCCCCGTCAAGCATCTTTTCATGTGCTTTTTGGCTATCATGTGTCTCCTTTAGTGAGGAATCTATTCATAACTTTTTCATTTCTGAATGCAAGTCCTTTAACAGACACAGGTATCACAAATATTACCTCCCAATGTATAGCTTGACTTTTCTTTTTCTTGTTATTTCTTTCATAATTCAAAACTTTAAAAATTTGATCTAATTTAACAAATTTTCCAATCTATGCTGCATGTGCTATATCTCAACCAATGGGAATTCATTTAGTTATTTTAATGTCTTAGAAAATTTGATTTTATATAGCAAAATAAGTGGCTGACCAAGTATAGAGGCTGGAATTATAAGTGGAAATCTCCCTATCCCCAAAATAACATGTTATGGGTAAGAATGGAGTTATGCTTTTAATACTGAAATAATGAGTAATTATTTTACTGGTATCAGTATGGTAACTATTCTTTTTCATAGTATCTTATAGAAATTAACACTGTACCTAATATGGTTTAAGCCTAAACTTTCTATTTAGAATATTTCTAATTTCTTCATTGGTGTTTTTAAAAATGGAAAGCATATACACATACACTAAGCTAATTATTATTATTACATTAATAAGTATTTTTTTAGAAGAGAACTTTAATATTTTTCAGTTTCTCCCTTGAAGTATTTATATAATCTTTAACAACATAATATCAACAATTTAGACTACATTCTGAAATATTTTGGAAAGTGTAAGATAACCTTATGAGAGATTAGATATGAAAGAATTCCTCCTACTGAAGGGATGTAGTGATGACTCCTTTCTCACAGGCCCACAGAGATGTCCATGATTGCTAAGTGCCACTGGTCCAAGTGCCACGCGTTCAAACTGTTTCTTTGTAGAGCTTGAATGCAACTGACCACAGCTACTCAGAATTTTGGGGGTCAAAATTATATGTATGCCTAGCACCTGTGCCTCGGGCAATACTAGTACTTTACTACTTTTTCTGGTTGGTTCTTTGAACTTACAGTACCCTAACTTTTGTCTGATTTTCTAGTCTCACCATCTTGCCACTGTTTTTAATGCTGCAGGGCAAGTATTTACTAATTTTGTTTTGAAGGAATTTTTTTTCAGAATTTCACAATACCCTTTGTAGTACTTAGGGATGCCTTAAAGGTGTTGCAATCAGAGGATTAGAAGCCACTGTCATAGATCCAAGATTCTACTTTGGCAATATGCAATCTTTTTTCTAAGGCCTACTGGTATTGCTTTCCTAAAACGTTCACTTTTTGTTTTCTTCTACTCATATTGACATGTACTTTGTTTCTCATATAAGATGCAGTAAAGTGTTCTTCCACTACTCTTATTTCTGTATACTCCTAGGATTTTCTGGGTAACATATATACCATTTTACAGGTAGATTTTGTACTAGTAAAGCTTGTATCATGTTGTATTATACGGAAATCCCTCACCAGAGATCTTCATACTAACTGCTGAAAGATAACAGCCATTACTTGACTAGTGTTCCAAACCATTAAACAAGAATTATTCAGACTGAAAATAAATTTATTATCAAAGATTAAAAATTAATGTCATGACTGAAGTCATGAAGAGGCTTATGCACAAGAGATGCGATCACTTCCAGCTCTTTTCATAGCCTTCCTGTTTCTCATTCAGCATAGCTGTTACTTCCACTTTCCCAGGGGAGGAATAATGTGGTACGTCAGACCAGAGTTCATGGGCAAAGGTCTAATGTGATGCTCTTGGCCCTTGGTCAAACATGAGTACAGCCTAAGTGCCCTAAGAGTCCTTATACTCGTCTCATCTCAGTGTTGGAAACAGGCTGGCTGTGTTTTGATTTACTATAAGATCTGATAACCTTCTAAAGTAACAGAATATGTGCTGGACTTACATTTGTTCCATACTTTTAAGAAAAGTGAAGTAAGGGCTGGGGGCAGTGGCTCACACCTGTAATCCTAGCACTCTGGGAGACCAAGGCAGGTGGATCTCCTGAGCTTAGGAGTTCAAGACCAGTCTGAGCAACAGCAAGACCCTGTACCTACTAAAAATAGAAAAACTACCTGGGGTTTGTGGCAGGTGACTGTAGTCACAGCTACTCAGGAGGCTGAAACAAGAGGATTGCTTGAGCCCAAGAATTTGAAGTTGCTGTGAGCTATGATGCCATAGTACTCAACTCAGGGCAACTGAGTGAGAATCTGTCTCAATATAAAAAAAACACCCCCCCCCACAAAAAAAAAAAAGGAAGGCGAATTAACTCTAGAGATAATGTAGGCACATTGTTAAAAAGAGAAAAAAAGACTTAGAAAAAAATCTGTTTTATTTGAAGTATACATCACCTTATCAAAATCTGGTGAAGTTAGCACAAAGCATCCGTGTTTAGCATGGATTTGCACATGGTGGTCTATGGCTTAGCCATGCCTTATTCTGTTGGGAAATGGCAAAGTTCTCAATGAAAAGACAGCAGGGAAGGTAAGATCCAGCTTTGACCCTACATTTAACATGCAGGATGACTTCATGTACAAAAGACCTCAATCTCTTCATTTGTAGGAATTGTTTTAGATAAGTCATAAGATCCTTTCTTGGACTTTATATAAGCTACCCAGGATCTATGAGTTTCAATTTTTCCACAGGTATAAGTATAGTAATCTGAGATTCAAGTGTTTATAAAATTTCATCAAGTTCTTAGAAAATAGAAAGTACTATGCACATACATGAAAACTATAGTCCTAGCTGCTGAGGTATGAATAATTCTCACAATGTAGTACCCCCCTAAAATGGTTGTTTTTTATTTTCCCAAGGCCTAATTGAATCTTTTAATGTAGCTTTATTGGGGCTGTCCTGGCTGATTTTTGGTTGCAGTATAAAAAATTCAGTGTGATAGTCTTGGGGAGCTGTGCAGATGTGATGACTGGTATTCGTACAATGTAAGTCTTTGATTAATAGGAGATGGAATGTGAATTATTAAATTGGCAAATACAGTCCTGTCTATAGGCAGAACATTTTAAATATATTGTTGGGAATAAAGAAAATAATTCAGGCTCATAATCTCTTATCTAAAATGCTTGTGCTCAACATGTTGTGGAATTCAGAAATTGGGGGATGGCCAGATAGGATGTCTAAACCCCATATTATATACTTTCCTCAGGGAGATCTTGATTGGCACCATTTACATGTGAATGGTCAGTAGTGGGATTAAAGAAAGACTAAATGGCCTCATGACAGTTCTGACTGGGGTTTATTACCAAATGAATTTGAGATGAACTTTCAAAAAAAAGTTTTTTTGAGTTTTGAATCATAGCTAGAGCCGTTGTTGAGCAATCACTCCATGCCAACTTTAAAACTGTACTATTTACACTGACTAATCTTTATAAATAACCCAGCAAGAAGGCAGATGTGATCCATCATTTATACACCAAGAAGCTAAGGCTCAAGCATGTTAGATGAGTTGCCAGGGGCCACAGTAAGTCACAGAGCTGGTGTTTGAACTAGGTTCCTTGTGACTCCAAAGGCAAAAGATAATGTGTTTCCTCACGGCTTGGTCAAGACCTGTGGTTGGTGTGATTATTTACCCCTGCTGCATTGGTAGTTAAAAGCGTCTTGAGTTTGAGTAGGGTTTCTCTTTTCAATCTCCAGGTTCTCTAGGATAGTCCATCCAATCATTACTTACAAGCTAATGAAACGCCATGCATGGACCTGACTCCAGTCCAGAGTATCACACTTAGATCTTCAGCTCCCAGTTGGGTGTCTCTGTGCAGCAGCCTAACTGACCTAGTGAGCTCCCAATAGAATGAATCAACTTCTCAACCCTTCTGGGACTTCCAGAATTCTCTGTTCTATACCTTCTCCATTATCCATAAGACAGAATCCTTCTCTTTCGACACTACCAAAGCACTGCGTTCTGGCAAATCCTACGTTCTGACACTACCAAAGCCCTGCATAGAGGAGGCTTGGGGGTTTCAAGCTGTAGCAATTCAATTGTACCAATAAGGAAATTTAGGTCTTTTCATTATCCCCAGACAGTGTGTCTAAAGTGAAGGTTCTGGACAACAGTGCCTCACCAAATAGCCAGATTCTATCTACCTGCTTGAGAATAAGCTACCAAGTATTGAACCCCTAAGATTTTACTTTTTATTCCAGGCTGATTTGTGCTATTAAGCCCATTTTCTTTGCTGTCAAAGACAATGACTACATTTTCGGCATTTGGAATTGTGCTTGGAATACTGAGTGGCAGAGTCAACAGCATTTGTTTCAAAAATGATGTCTGTAGCAATCAATCCTTGCTGGGAATTTGCATGGGATACTAAAGAGGAGAAGTAACAGGCCTCTGTGTTTTTTTATTTCCATTGCTAGGTAAAAGACCAAGCCTGAGGGTCCATGTCAACACCACAAGTGACTCCATCCTCTTGAAGTTCTTGCGTCCAAATCCAAATGTAAAGCTTGAAGGTTTTCTCCTGGGATATGGCAGCAACACATCTCCAAACCAGTACTTCCCTCTTCCTGCAGAAGGGAAATTCACAGAGGCTGTAGTGGGTAAGTTGTCTCGTGCAGGGGTGGGGAACATTCTCACACTGGAAGGTGGCATTCATTTAACTGCAATCAAATAAGGCTCCATTCTAGACACTTCAATCAGATACACTTAAAAATGTACATTATTTTGTAAAAATGTAACTGCTACGTACTTAATAATTTCCCAAAATGAAAACTATCTGTTAATTGTAAAGTTAACTAACCTTTTACTAACTTTGTTGCGTCCCTTTTTGTTGGGAAGCATTTGAATGTTTGTTTGCACCATGGGGACCGTTTCAGTTGATCCTGGCATCTTGATTTGGATTAGGTAGGAGAGGGTATATTTGCAGCAATAACTGGTTGAAAAGCAAGAAAGTATTTTATAGGCATGTTGTCACAGGCATGGATATTCTACTGCATTTTTCCATATTTTAACTGCACCTTTCTTAGCATCAAACAATGACTTTGAAACGTCATCTACTGAGAGCTCCATCAATTCCATCTGTAGTTCTTAGGGTGCCTTGCTGATATCAACTAGGTGAGGCTGGGAATGCTCACCTTGGAAAATTTGAGTGTGATGCCATGATTCTCAAAGTCAGTGAACCTTTCACTGTATTCTCCAATTAATAGGTCTGCATGTATCATAGCTGCATATTCTTCAGATGATTCCTGTGTATCATCCTGTTCGTCAATAGCTTTTGGGAAAAGGCTAACTGGGGAAAATGTTCATCTGAAATTTCCTTTCGGAGGAGTATTTTGAAAATAGATAGCTTTTTGTCAAAATGCTTGTCTTTTTTTTTTTTTTTTACTACATATCATAAATATACTTAGTTTTACTGTGCGAAGAAATATTTAAGTCATTTTGATATGACATAGAACCTGCATTCCTATACAAATCTTCCTTCAATAATTCACACTGCTGATTTCTCTTCTCCATAAAATTGAACTATTTGTTCTTGCAGAGATAAAATTTTGGCTGACATCTGTGCTTGTGGTAGGCAATACATTTTAGAATGATATGGCAAACCATCCTGAATTACTTTGTCATTCAACTTTAGCGTGTCATGACCATGCTGTATTGCATTTACATGAATGTGGTTAGCAATACTTATAACTTGTTGCAAAATATCATTTAAAATAGTAGCTTTTGCTCAGAGATTTTGCTGATGCAAGATACAATGAAAACGAAATGAGAGTATCTGGACCTGCTAAGACTTCCCTTAGCTGTGCAACCAACCCTTTATGTTTTCCTGTCATGGAAAGTGTGCCATCTGTACATCGAGTCACTAAATTTACCAAATTCGGTCCAACTTCATGACATTTATCTTGAAACTTGATGAAATATCTCTTCCCCATGTTCTGGTTGCAAGAGTACCTATAGAGACTAACTCTTTGTAGCATAAAAAAGTCTCCTGTTGCAACCCGAATGAAGTATAAAACCTGCACAGAGTCAGTGGTGTCCATTAATTCAGCCAAAGTGATTGAATAGTATATATTTTCCTTTTGAAATATTGTGTGAAATTGTTCTGTTAAACTGAAGGCAATTCTTGTTTCTGGTCAGTTATGGTTCTCCTTGACAGAGGGAGTTGTTTGTACTTTGAAGCATTGTTAGAACCTAAAGCATCCTATAATTCTTTCACTATTTCTATATCACTGCTTGGTTTCCCTTTTTCCCCTGAGTATATAAGCTACTTTATAAGTTGCTTGAGTGACATTATTTCCAGGTGTTATGGCTGCTGGAAAAAATTGTCTTTGCTTTTGCTTTTCATCTGCTAATTTCTGCAGTACAACCTTTCGTGCCTCCTCCTCTAATTTAGAATATTGTGGTCCTGGTTGATGAGCATTGCACTGAGTTTCTTTCTTTTTCTTTTTGCAGTTTTTGGCCAGGGCTGGGTTTGAACCCGCCACCTCTGGTACATGGGACTAGCACCCTACTCCTTTGAGCCACAGGCGCTGCCCAACATTGAGTTTCTTTATTGTTGATACTGCAGTATCGCAAAGCAAGCAAATCATCTTATCTTTGGCAGAAACGAGAAATTGTTGCAATTCCCAATCCTCATTTAAAATCTGTTTTCTTCCTTCTGTGTTTTCTTGGTTGTCTTTGACATGATGAGTTGTTAAGCAGACAGCACTAAAGAATACTGTCAAGCTCTACTATTATTCACAAATTGTACTTCAAACAGAAACATAGTGCGTTATTGTCAAAAGCTGATGACAGACCGGCATACTCGACCCCCATAACTCTCACCCTCCAGGGAAAGTTATAGCTAGACTGTAGCAGCCGTCACTGTAGCCTCATGGCTTACTGATGTTCCTATTCTGCTGGCCATACTTAGAGGATTATTTTGTGGAAACTTATTTTATTCTTTGGTATCTTAATTATGTTCATTTTAAAAATAAAATTAAAATGTAAAAGATGAACAAATATGTATTAATAAAAATAAAAGGATTGGTTCTATAAAATTTGAGTTCAGTCAAAAGGCCACTCTGCAGGACCTAGAAGGTTACCTGGCCACAGATTCCTTGTGTTTGGGCATTAGGCACAGAAAGAAGGGAGGTGAGAGGTAATGGGTGTAACATGACGTACAATCCTGATGGCAAAAACCATTTCTTCTACATTCCTGAAAGAACTGAACGCTAGAATTATAAATCATATTCATGATTGTTGCAATCAATAGCATAATTCTTCTTTTTTTTGCAGTTTTTTGGCTGGGGCCAGGTTTGAACCTGCCACCTCCAGTATAAGGGGCCAGTGCCCTACTCCTTTGAGCACAGGCACCACCCCAGCACAATCCTTTTCACTAAACAAATTTTATTGCATGCAGAAAAAAATTATCTTTGTTGTCGTCGTACTTACAATCCCTGACATATAGTTTAAATATGCATAAAGAAAAAGAAATAGCTGAAATGCATAGGCTTGAACCTCTGTAACATAGTTTGTTTATATGGACTAATATTCCTTCCTGCTGTGTCTTTACTTCCTTCTTGATGAAGACAACTAGAGCTTTTTGGAGTCTTTTTAAGAGAGGTTATGTTTAAAAAGAAGAGAAATCATTTATATTCTCCTAACACAATAACTAAGAAAATGCCGTGAAGGCTATGTTAACCAGTTTGATGAAAACATTTCAAATTGTATATAAAACAAGCACATTGTACCCCATGATTGCATTAATGTACACAGCTATGATTTAATGAAAAAAAAAAAAAGAAGAGGAAGAAGAAGAGAAGTGAGCTGTATGTAACACCGTGGCACTCTACCAAGGATGACAAAGTGAGACTCTATCTCCAAAAAAATAAAAAGAAGAGAAAGTACATTACATTTTAAAAATTTAGAGTATTTCAGACAAAAAGATTGAAGTTTTCCTATACATTATTATATGATTTTATATTTCTTTGAAAATGTTTTTAATCACATTAAAATGTAATTTGAAGACAATAGTCACCTTCAAGCCTTTTCCAAAAAAAAAAAAAAGTTTGCAAATAAAACCCTTTTAGAGAATAACATTTTAAAAAGGTCAAGGATCCTCTACTGCAAATGCTTTCAAAGGCTTTCTGAATAGTCAAAGATGAGATTTGTGTTTTGTTTAAGTGGTGGATTATTGCTGAGAGCCTTTCTATGAACTGCAGATGTTTAATCCTGTAAATCCCGCCACTTCATTTCAGTTAGGGTGTTCATCCCTACATGCAGGGAGTGTTGAAGAGGAATCTATTTTATCCTGCACCTTTTGGTCTCTCAGAGAAGTCTCTGTTGGACTTTAAGATCAGACAAGAGATTAATCCTGTTCATGAACTGTCTTGACTAGATTTTACATAAGACAATCACTGGAAAGCAAACCTCCTTGTTTGTTACCAAAATACTGAGAATTACATGCTTTCAACAAATGTAATTGATACTAACCTTGACCACATAAATCATAAAAATTTCAAATCTTCTCCATTATACTCCTTCTTTACTCTAAGAAGTGACTGGACACTGTGTGCTCACCTCCACGCCAAGAGAAACAGTTCCACTGTCCCTGTTTTCATTGAGCATTAGTAGTAACGTTTTATTTATGATATAGGTTTTGGTTAGGTAAATTGAGAATTTGGTCAATTATAAATTTTATTCCATATAAAGTGAAAGGCATTCAATTTTAAAGCAATAGAAGTCACATTACTCAGGAGAAATATGTGAAGAAAGCTAAAGAAACTTTCTAGCACAAATACTCTGAGCTTGCGCTCTCTTAATGATGAAAGTTTTAAATGACTAGAGACTCTTTTGCATACTTATTATTGTATTCATCCTTCAATATTTTTGTTGTGGAAAATTTAAAACATACAGGGAGAAAAAATATTACAATGAACTCTCATGTCTCATCATACAATTTGATTCATCGCTAATCTTAGTCCGTGTATTCTATGTAGATTAGAAAACTGTACTAGGTTTAGATTCAGCTTTTGGGTGGGATACAACACTTTATAGGTGGTACTATGTATTTCCTACTAACTCACCAACATAGGTACGTCATGGCTGGCTGGCCTTCCTAGTAATCTGAGACAGTGGAGTGTGTTTAGGTTGCTTCAGCCTGACCCCTTGTTATAAAATCCCCCCATCAAATTTTTACCTGATGCTTTGAGCATTGTTCAAAGATCATTGTCAGGTCCATTATTTTATTCTGAAGTTATAAAATGGCAACTTTCTAATTCTATCATTTCTTTTGCTTTTTAAACCAATGATAAAGAAGGATTTTCTCTTATCTGCTTTTTGTATTTCCTATATATAAAGTACATTTATGAAACACAGGATAAATTCTTATGCTCTAGGTTGGTGCCCTGATAACTTCCAGTAATAACCAATGATACTGTTCATTGTAGAGTCCATAAAAATGCCCTGGCTTTTATCTGATGGGTTTTTATCATCATGTCACTTATCTGTCCCTAATGATTCTTCTCCTTGTCTGGCCTGAGTATGGTTGTTTCTTGGTTTACCCTGGTTAACTATTATTCTGTAAGCTTAAAGTCAAAGTTTGTGCCTTAACCTTTGG